CCCCATCTGCTGCTATTAGGGCTGTAAATGGTGAATGAGTAAGTGAGGCCCTTCACGAGTGATGCTTACCGGTTCCTGGGCAGGTGGCTGCTCCAGCCCCGCGAAACCCACCAGATCGGCCCTGTCCCTGGCGGGCCCTGTCCAGCCTCCTGCTGCAGGTTACACGCTGGCTCCCCGGGAACAGGGCTTGCTCCTGGGAAGCTGGCTGCAGAGCCCGCAGTGACGCCTCCTCCCTGGGATACTTCACTGCAGGCTCTGTGTAAGCTCTATACTGCACAGCCTGCTGCATGTGGAACTGAGTAACCACTAGGATTTTTAAATGAATTTTTACATCCCTAGCTGATACCACTGCATCATCCTCTGTCTGTCTCATAGGCCTTAAGCTCAAGAGCAACATAAGGAGTTTCACACCTTAAGGACTGGCCAGCTCCTAAATCCTGCGTAGGACTCTGTGAGTTCACTGCACTGGGAGAAGGGTGAGTTCTAGCTATTGGGACTCACCTAGAACTGAGACGCAGATGCTTTCCCATGCCAAGAAGCCCTGCTCCCACCTTCCCTCCTGAAAGCACCCTCCGTCTTCCCTCTGCCACTGCTGGCTCAGCTGCTTTCCCAGGCAGGGGGCCAGCAGTGGAAAGGAGTGTGCAAGGGGAGGGATGGGCAGCAGCAGAGGGACTGTGGCATGGAGCAGGACCAGGAGGATGAGGCCATGTGGCTGGGAAAGGAGGCCTCAGACTCCTGGCTGGAATGTGCATGAGTTTTACGCACAACAAGGGGTGGTCAAAAAAAAGAAATTTTCACCCCAAAAAAAGTCTTGATTCCTCTCCCTATGAATTTTTTTAAACTCAGATGTCAGGAAGGGAGGCAGAACAGGGGGAGGGAGAGGAGAAGGCAAATGGGAACTAATGTTAACTCCTTTAAGACTGAAGTGCTACAGCATTAAGGTTGTAAAAGTGAAACTGTCTTCATTCATGTTTATCTCCGTCAAAGCCATCGTAAAAGGTGATTAGAGCAGGTCTCTAATTTGGTACATGAGGTCATCCTGACTTGAGTTACAGGAGAAACTGGCCAAGAACAACCACTGCCATTTCCTCCTAGCAATTATATATGCCAGAAAGTTGAGCTTGACTGTTACTGATTTTCTCCAGAAAAAAATAAACATTTGCTTGGAAGTCAGCAACTTCAAACTGAGTTTATGTCTATTGACCTCATTTTTTTCCAATCAGCAGATCCCTGCGCAAGGGCCACTGGAGCAGCACAAAGGAGATGGGGCTGGCGGAGAGGATCAGGGTGTATAGAAGATGCTCTGATTCAACACATCTCCAATGGAGCATCCCATGGAATTTCAGATGGAATTTAATGTTCCCACTATGTGGAATACCTGAGTTAGCAGAGGTGTACAGCTGCCTGCCCCTCCCCTGTGGACAAAGGGATCTGCTGATTCAGAGGGGGCTGCAACTTGCAGCGGTGAATCCAGGCTGATATTTGTATCAATTGGAATCAAGTCCTCAAAAACAACAAATACCTGCCAATGTATGTCCTGACTTACAGCATGAGCTCTTTTGGGAACACTGGCCTGTGCATAGACACAGAATTTCTCAGGCTGAACCTCTCTAGTCTGGCACTCTCTGGTCCAACAGCATCTGTGGTCTGGAATTATTTTAGTTAGCCGAATGTCCACTTACCATGGGTGTGGTCAAGTTTCCCAATGTCCCATAAAATTTGTTTACCAGCACCAGTCCTGGCTCTCAGTGTTCTGTGCTGTTATTTAGCTCTAATTTTCCCCAAATGTCTTCTAAGAGCCCAGTAAGCAATGGAAGTGTTGGCGATGCTGCTAGATAAAATTGATCTTCAGTGGTCCAGCAAATTCTCTGCTTCAGCGCTGATCAGGTCCTGAGGGTGCCAGACTAGAAAGGTTCAACCTGTATATATTCTAGAGAGCTTCTCTGTTTGATCAAGAACTCCTCCTAAATGGTGAGAACTAGGACCAGCAAATTCAATATACAGCTTCCTCTTAGCATAACTTAAAGCAACAAAAGGGTTTGGCTGTGCCAGGAAAATGGGATGTGCCTAGAACGGGACTGCTTCTCATAAAACCAAACAGAAAAGAGACAGAATCACCAAATCACGTACAGCCCTCAAAATGGACAGAACTGAGTGAATGCTGAAAGAGACTGAACTAAGATGAACCAGACAAAAATAAAACAAACCTAGAATAGGACTGCTTCTCAATAAACTTTACAGAAAAGAAATAAAACAGAGGAATCTGAAGTAGTGCTCTGTTTTGACACAGTGATATCAATGTTTAAGGTTTGAAAACTAGGAAACAATGTTATTGGAAATCAAATTGACTATAGCCCTTTTAAGTTAAAACATAGTGCATGATAAGAGTTCATAGGAATGAAGAAAAAATACACCTGATGGAATTCCCATTTTAAAAAAATTACTAAAAATAGACAGTAAATCTTTTAACAACCCCTTTTTTAAAGAAATCTGAAATAAAAATTAACTTTATAAAAATAGCAATGTATTTTTGAAAAATACAATCATTTAAATTAAGCATGCAGGAGGCCCCCGACTTGCGATGTGACTGGTTCCGGGGGAAGTGTCGCAAGTTGGGGGCATCATAACTCGAACCCACATTTATGATAGGCGCCATCATAAATGCAGGCTGAGGACGCAAGTCAGGGGTTTCCGGCCCCTTCCACACTTACAAAAATGGCTGTAAGGGGGGCGGGTCGGAACTCGGGCGGTCGCAAGTCAAGGGCCTCCTGGATACATTTTCCTTTTATTTAAAAAAACACTTCATTGAGTTAAAGACCTAAGACATGACGGGTATATCTGCTAGTTTATAATAAAAAATAAAGTTGATGTAAGATTCAAAGTAATTCTGCAGATCCGTGGTATGTTAATACCGATCAACGTTCCCTCTAATCTTTTCCATCCATATGCGGATTTCTTCCATCCATGTGCAGAATACATTTTTATGTGAAGTGAGGCATGAGTGAACATGCACCACCTGCGGAAACACAAACCTCGCTGTGGGTTCTCTGCTAATCAGCTGGACAGCCCTGAAATCTCTCCTGAGCAAGCCGCACAAGCACACAGCTTTTGAGGAACACTGATTCAAGAGCTGATTTTTTAAATTGAACCACTGCTTTTATAATCCTACACTAACAATAATGCAATTAAAAATGTTACAGATCAAGCTGGTGGTCACCTCTCTTTTACACTGCAGTTACCATATTGAGGAAAAGAGGAGGAAACCCTCTGGAAATACGAATGTACATGGGGGAAGCACACTTCAAGTTCCACCCAGATTCCAGGGATAGCCTCTATCTTCCACCTGGGGAGTACTATTAGAACAGGCAAAATCCTTCAAACAGCTAAAGTTTTTCAAAGTCACTCATTGCTGCATCTCCACAATCTCTTTTTGCAGAACTGCTGGTACATACCCTACAGTCATTAATCCAGCAAATGCTGTTCCATGGACAAATCTGGTAGGGTACTAATAAAATTCCTGGAGAAGCTCAAAACTCACTCACAGTAGGTGAGGGTACTAATGATACTGTGTAGCTATACTGGATAGTAGTTTATACATTATGTATGATTTGCAGACCTTGATAATTAAGTACTATCCACTCGAAAAGCACAGGTTACAGGAAATAAATCTATTTTTTCAGTTTGCTCACTTTGTGCTTTGATAGCATTTCATACATGGATAATTTCACCACTTCTCCTGTACAGTCAGTTTACACTGCATGTGGGTCTTTCATAGGGTTGGAAGAGCAATTCCTTCAGCTTCCTTTACAAACTAACTAGGAAGTGTGGCCTTGTGGGTGTCCAGGCTTACAGGACAGAAACGCCTTAGGTCTAACTCTGGGTAAACTATCAACCTGCTGTATAGTTTTAACAAATCTTTTAATTCCTCTGTGCCCCAGTTTGTCAACCAATACAATGGGAATGAATTACAATGAGGCACTCCAGGGGAGAGTTTGTGAGGATAATTTATTCATGCTGGAACAGCACTTTGGAGATGTGAAGATGAATATGCAACACAGTGTCACTACACAGTGAAATGAGATTCACTGTGTAGGTTAGCACATAACATTCAGTGTCAGAAAACAGGTAAATATGCAATATCCTGTGGTACTGATGGAGTTAGGGAACTAAACAGGATGCAAATCATAAGGGGTACCTGAAGATTCTGCCAGAAGTCATTACCTTGTTAATGTCACAATGAAAACAGACTGGTGTTTCAGGTACTGAGCCGCTGTTGGGGGACAGGGGAGCAGCCCGCACACTTCCTGGGCTTTGACACTCAGCTGCAGGATTCCCAGGTACCGGTACCTGTCCCTTCCCCCCACCCAGACCCTCACAAGTACCGTGTCTCCTGCCCCAGCACCCACTGGCACCCTGCCTCAGCACCCTGCCCCTTTCCCCAGCACCCTGTCCCCTGCCCCAGCACCCACCGGCACCCTGTCCCCTGCCACAGCACCCTGTCCCCACCAGCACAGTTGGGGCCACATTAGTGAGGCTTGAGGGGTTTAGAGCGGTTGTGTTTTTGTATCTCACTTGTGTGGCCCTGGCTGACTTTTCTGTGGGTCAGTGACTCCCTGACTCAAAACAGGTTCCCCGCCCCCTCACAAATAAAGACAGTGCTAAAACCTTTTGTGTTTGACATAATATTTTATTTAAAAATGAAGCCTGGCCAACAAGCCCCCAACTGGGGCCAAGCCCTCATCTGGCCACAGCATCGTAACACTCCTGTACCCCCCACCTTGACCCCAAATCTGAGCCTATCATACACTGGAACCCCCTGTCCTGAGCTTCTCACATCCCCAAACTCCTGCATCCCCACATCCTCAGACTTTGTTTTTAAACACCACCAATTAAGGTCCTAATGGCAGCAGGCATTCCTCGCTGGACATGTGGGAAAACAGATTAGCTTATCAGTTGTTCACTAGAAAGGTGATTAAATGATTTTGTGTCATATCACATACCTGGATCTAGGTTATATTGTTCTAGGAGCTTGAAGACCAGTTTGCTTAACATTCTGTGGTTGAGTTTGTCAGGTCGTAAACCTGGATACTGCCTGTAAACAAAACAAACAAAACTAGAAAGAAACATCAATGCAAGCAGATACGGTACTTCTCCCTTTTAATAGCAGGGATGTTGTCTGTAGCTGGGTGGTGGCAGCAACTTCTTTTTCCTCCAGCATCCCTCACAGCCCAACTAGGTCTGCTTAAGAAATAGGTATTTAAGTCACTGTGCACAGAGTTCACTGAAAACATCTACTTGCTTATAAAGCATTCTTAAAACACCTACCTAGGGAAGCAAGGAAACAGACTGACAGAGCCAGATGAGTGCCCAAAAGTCACCTACTTCAAAACAGGCCCAACAAGGAAAATAACAGAACACTCCTCACCTACAGCCAAAACCCCTCTGGCACATCACTGACAATCTACAACTTCACTCTCACAGGCCTTGGGAGACAGGCCAATCCTCATCTACATACAACCCTCCAACACGAAGCAAATACTCACCAGCAGCCACACAATGCACCACACCACCACTTAACCAGGAACCTTTGCCTGCACAAACCCCATTCCCAACTCTATCCACATCTCTATACTAGCGACACCATTCACAGGACTTAACGACATAAACCACAACATCAGGGGCTCATCCACCTGCACATCATCCACTAATGTGATCTATGCCATCAAGTGCCAGCAGTGCCCCTCTGCCACGCACATTGGCCAAACTGAACAGTCCATGCACCAAAGGACAAATGGACACAAATTAGACATCAGGAATGGTAACACCCATAAACCTATAGGGGAACATATTAACCTTCCTGGACATTCAGTGATGGATTTAAAAGTAGCCATCCTTCTACAAATTACAGAGGGAGACTGCTAAACTGGAGTTCACTTACAAGTTCAACACTATCAACTTAGGTTTGAATAAAGATCTTAACTGGTTAATGCAGTACAAGGCAAATTCCCCCCACCTTGACTGTGCATTGTGTGAAGAAAAACTTCCTTTTGTTTTAAACCTGCTACCTATTAATTTCATTTACTGACCCCTGGTTCTTGTGTTATGGGAACAAGTAAATAACTTTTCCTTATTTACTTTCTCCACAGCAGTCAGGATTTTATAGACCTCTATCATATCTCCTTTAATTGTCTCTTTTCAAAGGTGAACAGGTGAAAAGTCCCAGACTTTTTAATCTCTTCTCATATGGCAGCTATTCCAAACCCCTAATCATTTTTGTTGCTCTTTTCTGAACATTTTCCAGTGCCGATATATCTTTTTTTAGATGAGGCAACCACATCTGTACGCAGTATTCAATATGTGGATGTACCATGGATTTATACAGAGGCAATAAGATATTCTCTGTCTTATTCTCTATTCCTTTTTCATGATTCCTAACACCGTTCACCTTTTTGACTGCTGTTGCATGTTGAGTGGATGTTTTCAGAGAAGTATCCACAATTACTCCAAGATTTCTCTCGGGTGGTAACAGCTAATTAATTCCCTATCGTTTTATACATATAGTTGGGATTCAGTTGGAATATGCAATTATCAATATTAAAATTCATCTGACATTTTGTTGTCCAGTCACCTAGTTTTGTGAGATCCTTTTGAAGCTCTTCACAGTCTGCTTTGGACTCAACTACTCTGAGAAGTTTGGTATCATCTGCAAATTTTGCCACCTCGCTGTTTACCCCTTTCTCCAGATCATTTATGAATATATTGAATAGGATTGGTACCAGTACAGACCATAGTAGGACACCACAAGTTACCTCTCTCCATTTAGACATGCATCTGGCGAAGTGGGTCTTTGCCCATGAAAGCTTATGCTCCAATACATCTGTTAGTCTATAAGGTGCCACAGGACTCCTTGTCGCTTTTGCAGATCCAGACTAACACAGCTACCCCTCTGATACTTCTCTCCCTTTTGAAAACTGACCATTTATTCCTATCCTTTGTTTCCTGCCTTTTAACTAGTTATCAGTCCATGAAAAAAACCCTTCCCTTCTCATGACATCTTACTTTGCTTAAGAGCCTTTGGTGAGGATCTTGTCAAAGGCTTTTTGGAAATCTAAGTATATTATGTCCACATATTTGCTGACCCCTCAAAAAATTCTAGTAGAATGGCTTTCACACCATGTTATTAGAAAGAACACTGGAGAACATATTGGTCTTACCTCATAGCTATTTAGCACCTGCTCATAATGCCATATAACATTGTATGCTGTTTGAAAATAAGAGGGCAAAACACAAAATAGAATAATCTTCTACCTTGAAACATCTGCAGTATTAAAACCAGGTTCACACCACATATCCAATGTCTTCAAGAGTTTGCACTGGAGATCAGGGTATTCTGCCACATAAGTCTCTACAAGGTTAATTTTCTCTTGAAGTAGCAATGGCGTGCACATCTAGGAAGGAAAAACAGATTTGCACTTTCAAAGAATTTCAGACACATTGTGCTCTATGCCTGGTGCAGACTACTTCCCACGGCATTGCTTCAAGCAGGCCAGATGTCCAGCCACTCCCAGGCTCCAGGCACAGAAGCATGAGCAGTCCCAGTTTGCTCCCGCTCAGAATCTGACCAGGGGGAGTTATACACCTGCACAGGTGCTCAGTATGGGCCACATTCTGGCTCAAACTCTTCTATATTGAGGTCTGTAAGTGTTTCAGAAAAGGATTCTGAATTGCTTAAATCTTAAACAAATATTTTTACATTCAAATGTGCCTAAAGGGAGTTTTCTTCACAGAATTTTCAACATAAATATTAAGCTATAACATTACAAACTTTTGGCATTAGAATTTATTTAACTCCCCCATGCCACCTCTTACTACCACACAAGTAGAAAATACTTGAGTTATCTTCTAACACCCATTATTCTGAATAGGGAGAGCTGGGGAGGAGATGGGACTGGCTGTGTATTTAAACAATAATTTGTAAAACAGAATTAACAAATCTGATATTTCAGATCCTAGTTAGAAAAATATTCTATGAAGATGTAAAGCTGTATAGAAACAATCTTTCAGTCATTTCACAGATTGAAATGTCATTTTAGCAGCTCCAGCTCCATAGTGACTTCTTACAAATCAGATATTAGTGCTTACTATTGGTATATAACTTCCACTTTTTTGAAAGACTATGCATCTTGTTTATCAAAGCCTACAGCTGATGACAGGAAGACTACAGGGGAAACAGACTTACCTTTTCCACATCTAGATCTAGCTGTAATTTTAGCTTTATACTCAGAATGGCTGCCTAGAAAACACAAAAGGTAGAAAATATTTCTTGTTGCAGCGGAGGACGTATGCTTGGGAGAGCTTGTAAATGGATGTGTTTCTAAATGGACATATAGATAGACCTTTTATACACATTTTTCACAGAATGATTCTTTTTTACTGTTATCTTTTGAATGTACTAAATAAATGCAAATGGACTTCATTTAGAAATCCATAAAAACACTATCAGTGGCATTTCATGTTTTAAACTGTATTAAACCTCAGAAGAAAAATTCTGAGATCAAACACTATTAAAAAAAAGAGAGAGAAAAAACAGGCTCTCTAATCAAGTGTTTGGAAAGACTCAATTGACAGTTAATTTTCTCCAGGAATATACATTTAAGATCTGAATAAAAAAGATATTCATGAATTAACTTGAACACAAATCTCAGTGCTTATCAATTGTGCTATGCAGTTATATTTTGTGTAAACATCTCATTCATAAATCTGAAAAAAAATCAACAGATATTTCAAATGTAGCCCCCCACATGCCCTAGATCAGCAGTTCCCAACCTTTTCCAGATGGGGACCCATTCTGACAATTCAGGAAGACTTGGTGACCCAGGGCAATTCAAAAAATGTGTGAATGGCTCCTTAAGAGCCACCTGGGAAGACACCTGGCGACCCTTTCGAAATGTAATGGCCACCCCTAGGTTGGGAAACACTGCCCTAGATGCAATGAATCACAAATAAAAAGATGATAATAATTAGATTGTTTCCTTTTATGCTGTGTTGTGACCATTGTGAACTAAGGCTTGTAATCCCCAGGTGAAGTTAATCAGAATCAGTATCCTAAATATGCAGATGAGGAAAGTATGTCAGAGTGGCAAGATGATTTGCCAAAAGTCATACAAACAGTCAGTGGCAGAGCCACTTCAAAAAAAGAATTTTTGAATTCCCATTCTGTATTTTAATTCCAAGAACTTGCTTCCACACTGGCTTCAGTTTTCCTCTTCTACTAGATACAACTTCCGCCCTGCTACAGTAAAGTGATACAAAACAATGGATAACCGTTGATTGTGAATTGAAAATCAATACACCCATATCATTCTGCCAGGGGGTTGCTAAAACATGTTCGCTGAGCCCTGATTCAGCAAGGCCCACAAACAAGTCCTTAAACCCATCCTTATTCAACGAATGACTTAAGCATGTACTTAAGTCTCAGTGAGTTAAATCTCAAACTAAGCACATACTTAACTGATTTAATAATAATATATGGAGGTATACCTATCTCATAGAACTGGAAGGGATCTTGAGAAGTCATTGAGTCCAGTTGCATGGCAGGACCAAGTACCATCCCTGACAGATTTGCCCCAGATCCCTAAATGGCCCCCTCCAGGATTGAACTCTCAACCCTGGGTTTAACGGCCCAATGCTCAAACCACTGAGCCATCCTCCCCCAATTTTGTTGAAATACTTTTCTTGATTTTATGACTATCAGTGTTATAACAAATAGAAAGCCCTGTTACAGGAGTTATTTACACAGTCCATTTCTTTGAACAGAAAGGAGACCATGAGAGAGTATCAGTATGTTTACAATATCAGTAATATAAGGAGAGACATGCCTAAATGAAGATTCAACTGACTTGGCTGCAAAATATTTATTTTGTTATTGCAATGTTTAATATTGTTCAGTTTCCACCACAAAAAAATCAGTGAAATCGGCCTATTTTTATGGTTTTTGTACAGAGGATAAAATTTCCACACATGTATCATCTCATTCAGGGACTCATTTTGCTGTCCAGTAACAAATACTTCAACATATAGATGGCATGCATCAGCGGATACTTAAAGATACACCCCACCATGAAACAGTATTTGTGCATACTCCACACTGGACCAGAAGTAACTAGAATAACTGGAAACTAGTAATCATATTAATTTAGTTGTAGAAACCTCAGATCAAAACTGGATCAGCAAGGAAATAAGAATCCCAAATCCAAACTGTCTTCACCACTAAGCAAGATCAAAACCTACCATTTAAATATGATCTGCTCAGCACATTATCCAGGAACCCTAAAATCCATATAATGTCTGCACACACCGTGCATTTATTAGGAAGGCCCCAAAATGCACCCCAAAACCATCATATCTGATGTCAAAAAGGTGAATACTCATATGCTGCCTTTTCTGTTCCTACTAATGTGTTCCAAATACAGAGTTTCCAGTGCGAATAAAAATAACAGCAAAGAAATAACCCAGATAAGCTACATTAACTCCTTCACATCCACCCCACTCACTTCCAAAGTGGATCGAAATAGAAGCATGGGAAAAGTGTATGTGTTTTCTGGTCCCAAGCCAATGGAGGGCAGGCATATGATGAGGACTAGGTACTAACTGGTTGACTGATACAGGGAAAAAAAGATAGGAGCAAAATGTGACTTCCCAATGGTCTGATCCAAAGTCCGCTGAAGACAGCGAGTCTGGTCAAGCAGCAATCACAATAAACTTCACATGTGGACAAAACAAAAAACGATCCAAGGATCTGTTCACACGAGGACAGATGTTCCCAGCTTACCCTCAATCAAGATATTCTCCTTAAAATGGGACTGAGAAGACTCTGATACCTATGCCTCATAGTGTTCTTCTCTACCTCATCCCACAGGGGCCTTCATCTTCCCTGAGCACAATTTGGAGGTGACCATTATAAAGTCATAGATCACTAGAACTGGAAGAGACCTTGAGAGGTCAGAGTGTCCAGTGTCCTGCCCTGGACCATTCCTAGATAAAACAGGTAAGAAGTTTTTCCTAGTGTCCAACCTGAACCTCCCTTGCTCCCATTAGAAATGATGGAAGGTGGAGGTCACTTGAAAGAAGGTAATTTTTGTTTACCTGAAGATTTTGTGTGTTCGCATCTAATGATGGGAAAATGTTCAGCTGAAAACATTTACCCGTAAGTCTAAGTATTTCTTTTCAGATACTCCCCATTGCACGAGATCTACTCAAAGAGAGTGGAAAACTCAGATGAATGAGTGAGAGAGCATTTACATGCGTGCAGTGTCATGCAGAGCAGGGGAGGGGAAGAAAACAGGTGTGCGTGCAGGGAGGGAATTGTGGAGAACACAAAGGAGGAGAATCTGGGGCTGCGTGCAGAGGAACCTGGAGGGAATCTGGATGGAAATCTGCATGTATGCACATAAGCACGTCACAGTGTGAAAGACAGAAGGGAGGGGAAAATGAATTGGACAGGGCTGTTTTGTGCATCTCCGGTGACATAACACAGCTTTCAACCCAGTTTAACTAGTCAGTGTGTTTGGCCAGCGTCTTTGGGGATGGGCCTGAGCTGCATAAAGCAGCAAGAGCGTATCTTGTGAATTTGGCCCTAACAGATACAATTAAAAAAAAAAGATTTAAGGTCCCATCTTCCAATTAGAACTATCACATGATAACACTCATTTACTTTCTTATTCAGGGTTCACATATTAATTTTTTAATTAAATAAGGAAAATCCCCCACAAAACCTAAATTACAATGCAGGTAACATATCAGTGATTTACGGTAAAATGCATCACAGGAAGGTTTTAACTGTCCACAAAACAGCTCAGGAAAGTCTGAATAGTAATAGAGAGGTAGCCGTGTTAGTCTGATCTTGCTAAAACAAAAGTCTGCCCTATAGCGACACTACAGCAAAAAAACAATATAATGGATATTCTAACATCAGTTGAATCTAATCCATTTAAGACTATAAACATGAACATGCTTTAATTATATTATTGCAAGACATCACTAGAGGGCTGACATAAGGGAGAGTGTGAGCCTGAAATGTAACTTGCTAAACCTTAGCATGTTTGCATTTTTCAGTCTGACCCTATCAGAATAGCCTGGGATTGTCATGCTTGGTTTTGGAACAACTCAGCCATCCCAGTAATGTATTTTACTTTCAATTACTGATATGTACTCTCAGCCTGAATCCTGTATTAATGCATTTTTTGTTTAAGTACGCTAAGATGTGTGTATTTAAACTAAATAAATAGTATATATTTTAATGCCTTTATTGCCTAATTCCTTATTTCAGCAATTATCCCTAGATATAATTAACAAATCTGTCTTTTTTAATGAAAACTATCAATTACCACCACCAGACAACATATTTATTAAATTTATTTTCAGTACAAAAATGAATCAATTCCTGAAACTTTTCGCTAATATTTGAAAACATATAAATATAGAAGGATAATGTCATTTAGTTGTTAAAAATTAAATGCAAAAATTATCTTCCCATCCCTGCTAATCCTTAGGCCCAATGTTCTTGTTTAAAAAAACATACAGAAGAAGAAGAAAATTCCCTAGACTTCTAACATAGAGAGCTTTGAGTGGGAGTTCTCTCAAGCCCAGGAATATTTCTGGTTGTCAAAGGCTAAAAAGATTATTTATTGTTTCCTTCCTAAACCCAGCTCCACTGCCACCTGTTCAGAATTTAATATAAAGCTGTTAAACAACACCAGAACTTTGATGCTGACTGCAAAACAAGTTTCACTGTATCTGACCCTAGAAGCACTTACTACTGATCCACAAGCAAAGGAATTTGATTTTTTTTTTTTTGGCACAGCTATCTTTTTACCTTTATAAGCTGTTTAAAAAAATGTAAATAAAATAACTCAGTGGACAATAGAGGGCATTCATCCCACAGAAAGACAGCCGCCACCCTTAGACATGAAATCTCGCAGCACATTAAGTCATGAGACCCCACTAATCAAAGCTGACAGGGCCCTGAATGTGATTTCTGCTGGGACTTAGCGATATCATGGGGCACTGAAGCATGCACAGCCTGCCAGACTGCCCCTGTTCATGTGACAATGGCTTTTATTCGCTAAAGGGGCCTGCGAGTGACAAGAGTCTCCTTTGTCTTTAGATTCCTGCATTTGGAGTGCAAGAGAGGTTCATTCAACCAGCCCCAGACACTCTTTGAAAGGCTGAAGTGTAACATAAGATGACCATGAAACACTAGCTTGCCTTCTGCCTACCCCTCATTCTTCTAAAGCACAGCCTGGCCTATTCAGCGTCTCTTCACAGAATAGCATCGCACTATATTAGCCTCTGGTCTGCTGAATTCCATCATTGTTTAAAAAATACTGGCGGCCATCTTGGTTTTCATAAAGCCATTCACCAACACCGAAACGGAGCGCTCCAGAGAAAGACCTTCTGAAAGGCTACAGTACTGTCAGCGCCTTGGAGTCCTGCACAACACATGGTGTGCACAGCATTTTGTCCAGGCTCCGCCTGAACACAAAACAGAGTCTAATACTCTTAACACTAGAGCTCAGGGTATGGTTTAGGGCAACTACTGAAACTCGTCTGGCCATTATGCTTGGCTCCCAAAAGCATCTGTGTAAGAAAGAGGAATTATAGCTAACGGCACCCCAGCTGGAACCGTATCACAGACATTTTAAATACCTGTGCTTAGAGACGATTCTCCCTTATCAAACAAAAGCATGAACTCCAACTGTCAGCCTTAAAACCCATTTTTGTCAATTCCTCCAGTGCTGCATTCCACATACTACCAGCTGCAATCAACTGCATTCCCACCAGAATGGACACATCTCCAGCACCTTGCCACACAGACACTTCTGCCTTTTTCTTTAACTGCCACCCAACTTACCGTCAGGAAAATAAAGCTCCCACTATATGTTTTGGGAGCATTAGTGCCATCCAGTGGCCAGTGAGACTCGTCTCATCTCCCCTATTTCAGGGGTGCTTCACGCAGAATGTACCTGCTACTATTATTGTAGAACCTCTGAGTTACGAACACCAGTTAGGAACTGACCAGTCAACCACACACTTCATTTGGAACCAGGAGTAAGCTGTCAGGCAGCAGCAGAGACCAAGAAAAGAACATGGCAAATACAGTACACTACTGTATTAAATGTAAACTACTAAAAAATTAAAGGGAAAGCAGCATTTTTCTTCTTTGTAGGAAAGTTTCAAAGTTATATTAAATCCAGGTTCAGCTGCAAACTTTTGAAAGAACAACCATAATGTTTTGTTCAGAGTTATGAACAACCTCTATTCCCAAGGTGCTCATAACTTTGAGAAGCAGGAAACATTCACATCTGTGGCATCTAGATTTATCTTCCAATGACTAACTTTTATCCCACCATTACTTCCATTCTGACCCACTGTAATCCGCTAGCATTGGAGGGGACAACACAAAGTTCACAGATCCCAAGGGACTGCTAGGCTCAGCTACACAAATTACTGTTATTCTGAAAAACAAATTGGTTCGCCCCTCAAGTAGCTGTAATACCGAAGGCCCCGGGAGGGATCGGATCTGCTTGAGAAGTACATGAGTCTTGAGGAATATCAGGGACCTCATTGTCTGCAGAGACATTATTCTCATCTGGGATTTGTGAGGTGGGACATGAACATATAAGGCAAAATTGAAGACCCTGAAAAATGCTTTGTTCACATAAGAATATTAAAAGTGTCTTGGGGACTAATGGAGAGTGTTTCTCCACAGTAAAGACTGAAATCCAGGCGCCCCCCCCCCGAATCGATCGATAACCTTAGGGCTTCAACAAGGGGGTCAGAGAAAGCAAAGAATAAGAGCAAACGTTTAGAAGAGTTTCAAACTTCGAAAGACATAGGGAGGGACAGAAGGGGTTAAAGGGGCTCACAGCTGAATGTTTTACTGCCCCATCTGAAAGTAGCCCTACAAGTAGAATCAGCACAATGCAGACACTCTCTGTCACAGCTTGCAGCCGAGGCCTGCTAGTCCTAATGCCAGGCCCTATTTCAGTGTTTCACTGGCTACGGTGTCCTTAGAAAATCTCTCACCTTAACAGGAAATAAAGGACTTTTTGTGTTATTAAGCATCCAAAATAACTTACCCCAAAATTAATCAAATTCTTTCAAGCCTTGCAAAAGGAGGCTAGGCTTGACTGGAGTTGTGTGTCCCCCAGGGTGAGGCATTAGACTGAAGGAAGAGTTAGCACTGCAGTAAAAGCTTTCTTATCCCAAATGTTGGGGAAATGGGAGGTGCCATCAGTCAAATAGTCCAGTTAACTAGAATAAGTGCAGGAGGAGTGAAGGATCCAGCTGGCATGTGGGTTCTGGGGTGGGGCCAGGGATTTGGTGTGCAGGAGGGGGTTCTGGGATGGGGGGTGCAAAAGGGAGCAGGGAGGGGCTCTGGGAGGGTTTGGATTCAGCAGTGGCTTTGAGCAGAGGGCTGGCCCATAGGAGGGGGTTGCGGAAGCTGAATCTGGGGGGCATTCACAAAGGGCAGCTCCCCACAAGCAGGGATACAGCCCTGCTGCTCCTACTCAGAGTCACGGCTACGCTGCTCTGCACACTGCCTCCACTCGCAGGCACTGCCCCCGCAGCTCCCACTGGCCACGCACCCACCAATGGGTGCCGGGGAGCCTGTATTCAGGGTGTGGGCAGTGCATGGTGCCCCACGAGCTTTCCTCCACCTAGGAGTAGCAGGACATGTTCCTGCATCTGGGGAATGCCCAGAGGCAGTTGGGGAGCCTGCTGGCCTGCACCAACCAAGCTATAAACTGGACTTTCCAAGGTCAGAAATGCTGGTTTCTAGAGCTTTCTGGTTGGCTTTTACTGTATCCAGAGCAACAATCATACAAAATCCCTCCACGGCCAGGCCCCGCTGCTGGTGTGAAATGGCATTTACACAGACCCAATGAAACCAGGCCCAGACACTAGCAGAGAATCGGAGCTCTCAGTATGCAAATCTCACTGAAAGTCAAGACTCACCTCTTTGTACTTGCCCTTGTGGTACATATGGCTGACATGGCCAAGCAAACTGGTCCGGTCTGCTGCATGTAGCTGATAAATGTTGAGCAGCGGGTCAAGAAGATTAACTTGGCTCTGGGCTAGGATTCTGAACACTCGGGCCTGGAGCTTCTTCAGTCTCAAGCCAGACTATGAAATCAGAGTCAAACGTGGATTTTGTAAAGACCAACAGAGTTCAATGACAGTCAAAACAGAACATTTTAAAACATCAGACCAGGCAACCCTTTGGGAAGGGGTTCTCCAGTTCCCACCAGGAGTTTTGACACAGAAATCAGGGCAAGACACTGCACAACTTACTTTACAGCGGCCAATTAAACTAACATTAAATGCTGGTGGGGTACAACTTGGAGAGGCCTGGTATAAAGGTCAATCAGAACTTGAGGAAACGGCCCCCAACAGAACTGCTTGCAGTATTCACACCTCCAGCTCATCACAGAAGTTAGAAAGCAGGTCGGAGCAGGTTTCCTTAATGATACGTGCCCACAGCAGAAACAAGCTTCCTGGCTCTTCCACCCCTCAGCTCTCCACAGGCAGCCATTCCCTGCCACACATGAGAAGTCAGTTTCATTCCCAGGCCCTGGAGTGGCCATGAGGCAAACAGATGGCATTGTGATATAGGAACCCAATAACTAATACACACTTCCATACATGGTCATTCTAGTAAAACTCTGGAGAGCTTGACTCTCGGTCCTGTGCTTAATTCAACTACAACAGACAGGAATGGCAGAAAAGAGAGATGTTGGGGCTCTGAATGGAGCAGCTGAACTCGCACACTCAGGCACTCGGGGGGAAATGAAAAATGGAGCAGTACCAAGACAAAGCCGCCTGACACTCACAGCAAGCAACGTACCGAAAGGCAAAATCTCAAGGTGTAAGAATGCACCAGGGCCAGGAAACGGAAGGATGACTTGTGATGACCTAAGCTACTGGGGAGAACCAGATTGTTACCACTTTCAGCATGCTGAGGGACAGGCGCTCCTGCCATTTGGCAAGACTTACATGATCCTAGAGTAAACATTGTGTGCATGCAAAACTGGGAGAGAAGACAGTGAGTGGGCTTTTGCCGACAGCAGGGATGGTGGTTCCTAAGGGCAAGCCTCCAGCCAAGGGAACGTCTGAAAGCTCCATATTCCAGCAAGGCAGCTTGATTTGGGGAGACAGAACTCCCAGGCTATCGGAGGAAAAGGGAAGGTATTTTAGCACCAGTGGCCGTTTTCCTTTCAGGCCAGTGACACAGGAACAGAGAGCCTCAGGATTAATTCCATCTGCAAGTCACAGGGTGGAAAGGAACTGGACTCTGTAGGAATGGGAGGCCCTTTCTTCAGGCTCAGTCTCTTTCTCTCTCTAACCTGCTGGCCTACAGGATGTTCCTTTATCCACAGCTGCAGCTCATTGGTGATGTAACATCCCAGGGAGTGCCCTTTTCCCTGCCAGTCACTGCTGCTCTCCAGCATGTCCAGGAGTCCTGCCAGCGGGTCTTCCAACGCTGCAAAGCCCCTCCTGGTTTCTTCCTTGAGCTGCCGAGATACAAAACCCAGATTAGTGATTCTTCCCTTCCCCCGGCCAGCACAAAGATTTATTCTTATTTAACTGAATCTGTTCAGAGAGGTAACTGTTGTCATTCAACCACCATCCGTGCTTCCAGTGACTTATCATGTCATTACAGATTCCTTCATGGCCCGCTGCACCTCAGAACCAATGGGAAAGGCGGCAATTGCCCACACTAATTATCTTATAGAGACAGAGAAGTTGTTCTGCAGGCTGAGGGTCTGGGAGAGGAGGGTGTTACTGGAGAAGTGGTGATAGTAAAGGCAGGCAGATTTACAAACTCGCCTACCTGCACTTCCAACATACCTACAGATCAAAACCAACCCTCCATTCCTGCACTGCAAACTTTTACATTCATCATATCACCACTGCAATCACAATTGTGCAACACTTTACACTAGAGTGAAAACTCCAGAGAATTAAAGAGTTAGGGTTTTAATACAGGATAAAACATTTCCCATCAACTTGTTGAAAACTCAAATTGCCTTATTTGAAACCCAACTTCCCTTTCTCCAAAGATGCGTGAGGTACTTGGTTTAGGCCACCATAGCATTCTTATAGTGGACAGCTCATTACAATTATAGACGGGATGCTGAAAAGCATGGAACATGGAAAAAATGATGCTATAAATCTAAGGAATTCCAGGGTGATCTGTTTAGAAAAGTGAAGGAACTGAACCCTCACTTTGTGAATGCTAATAGGCAACTTACTCCCCATCTGGACTAAGTGATAAATTAAAGCACTAGGCAATATCATTATAATGTTTGTATTAGAGAACAGTTTCCAATGAGTTCAGAGGTTGGCAGGGAGAAGAGGTGGCATCCTTCAGTAGCGCCACAAGCACCTTTTTCACCACATGGTGCATATCCAGGCATGGAGCAGAGGGAGAGCAGTGACAGAAGAGAAGAATTCCATCACAGCAGCTGCTTTTCTTTTTTCTGGCTAAGAAGCAAAATCTGAAGGATGCTGATTCCTGTATGCAGCAAGGTTTACTAATTTATTCTATATGATGTCCCCAGCTGCAGCATCAAATGAAATCAACACAAAACGACTGAAGAAGAATACGGAAAACAAAACAAAAAAATCTAGAGATAATATGCATGTTAGTTTTTTTTCCTTTTTATTCATCTAAAATAGCTACTCGAAGACAGTGTGATTTGCCAGTAATTTTCCATAGCCTCCTTCATGTTGAGAAAACCTTCAGACCCATAACAAATATAAATCTGTTTCTCTTTCCTGGGTTATCAGCTGCATCAAAAACAATGCTGATGACTAACAACGATGTGTGTTTAGATAAAAGTCTGCTCCTTCCCTAAGCATTTTCCCTGTGGCAAGAGCTCATGAAGTCCAACACAGAATTCTACCCTCACTGCAAAATTCAGCAGAAGCAGCAGCCAGGCTACAGTGGGACAAGCTCTTATCCAACTGTAAGTATCAGACACAACAGCCAAAGGAAAACAAAGTGACCAGCCAAGTAAACTGCACTCTGCAGAAATGGCTTTTTTCCCAAAGCCCCACTTCAGCACATGTGGGATTGAACAAGGGCCTTCTCGGCACAGCTCAGCATCTCCTTGGGCTGGAGTCAGACTCTGAGCAGAACACAATGGCCTGAGAGAGAGCAAGCTCTCACTCATGCCAACTTAGCTCAGAACCCTCGCAAAACTGGCAAGAGCAGTGACAGTACATCTGGACTGATTTTTGATGAAGGATCACTTAGCTATTCTTAGCAATGGGAAAATCCTTCTTTAAAGTCTGCTAATGCTCCAAGGAAGTGAAAAATGGGACGGGATGGACAGAACGTGCTACCTGAATCACCTTGTTCATCATTCCTCCAGCACAAGATTCTTTTAACGTAGATTTGTAACTATGGCAGATCTAGTTTTCAATAATTCACATGACAGGGTTTCTTTGGGAGACTATTTCACAGCCTACTAACTCCCATGTTTAAGAATTTTTTGGCTGGTGTCCAGAAGTTGACCTCAATGTATGGGCCAGGGATTATGGCTTGCCACAGGATGCATCTGACCAGAAAATAAGTAGGTTTTTGTCCCAATTAAGGCCACAGAGTGAGAGAACACAGAGAGTTCTTTCTCGGAAGAGACTCTCGAGTTGCGTGGCAAAGATAATACCGAATCATTAACACTTTATTAAAATAAATTAAAGACTAACAAATGTTGTGAAACATAGGGTTACCAGGCAATATAAAATTCTATGGCTCTGGGTGGTATCATTTCTATGATAAAAACTACATACCTAGCATACTCACTCCCTGACCTGAAGACCTGGTGGTAAGAGACAGACTTGTCCCTCGCATGCCCCATGAATTTGAAGGTTAAAAATATTGAATGACTAAGCTACACTGCAAAGCTGAACTCATAACTTGATAGAAGGTAGACGAAGTTGAAGAGCAAACAACTGTGATCTCCAGCATGGATGTTTTATAGAGAACTGGCACTGCTTAATTCATGCCCAAACTACCATGCCCAAATCTTATTTCCTCACCTACCCAGACTAACTTGCTTTAGCTAATCATACAGGATAGAGATCTGGCAGTTTCTTGCATAACAACCAAACACCATGAATAACTATAATGAATAACATCTACTGGAACTCTGATTCAGTGACAGCAGGATATACAGGCAGTCCCCGGGTTACGTACAAGATAGGGACTGTAGGTTTGTTCTTAAGTTGAATCTGTATCAGTTTCAACAGTGGCTGAATCTGGACGCCAGTTCTGACTTACATACAGATTCAACTTAAGAACCCCAGGCATCCCCAAGTCAGCTGCTGCTGAAACTGATCAGCGGCTGGTTCCAGGAAGCCTGGGGCAGGGGCTTCCTGTAGTCAGCCACTGGTCATTTTCAGCAGCTGCTGACTAGGGGACACCTGGGGCAGAGCAGCTGGGGTGCTGCTGGGTTGGTCCAGTGGCACCCAGAGCGGCGCTACGGGACCAACCGGCAGCGCCCCAGCTGCTGTACCACAGGCG